TTCCAAGAGCCCCCTGAAAAATTCCTTATGTGTGAGAGAAAAATAAATATCCCTTACAAGACATTCAAGTGCACCTTCATAAGAGAATCAAGATCAATTAGAGCAGGTGACATAATAGATGAGAAACAGAAGTTACTTTCTCTTGCAGTTCAAGTTGTAGGCAAGAAGGTTAAATCTGGGTATACGCCCTTATATGAAAACTAAGTCTTCTGTTCGATTTAATAATAAAAGAAAATAGGACCAGAGAGAAAGATGATAAAGCAAACAAGTTGCTAAGGGTTCATAATATAAAAAACACAAGACGAAACCCAAGACCCATTTAGTACAATGTACACAAAATTAGGGTCATTAAGCCTTGGAAAAGATCAATGAAAAATTAAGGCAACAAAAATTGACAGCTTCTATGATATCTGAGGGGATCAAATAAGGCAGTACTTTAACCAGCTATGGAGGAGACTGATAAGCTATGATCCTGAAACAAACACAACTCAATTTCTTGAAGTAGTTAGAAAACACACGATATATTGTTTAATGCACCAAGTTCAGAAGGTAACCCAACATGACTGATAGACTGTCGTGGACAGTCTCAACCAAACCATACAGTTTACATATGAAGAAGCAAAATATAATAAGTTAGCTTACCTGGATAATAAGGATGTGAGGAATACCAACTGGACATTCAAAACCATATCCTGATGTTTGAAAATGCACAAGAGCTGTAAAAGCCCAACAAAACAGTTCACATGCAGGGGATGTTTGCAGGATAATGCCCTATCTTTATTCTTTGCTTACAAAACTGGACAATAAATGTTAATTTGTATTGACTGAAGAGTACTGTTTTTTTCTACATTCTATTAAATGAACCAGTGGTTGTAGCTCAAGGGCAAGGTAAGGATCAGAGGCAAGTATAAGGATCATGTATGCCTTACTCAACTAAATGAAACAGGACTCATCTAGTCTGGAATTGTAAACATTAATACTCACTCCCCAACCTTGTGGGCAGAGTACATTCAATTTGCCCCCAGAATTATGGGGTGAACATGGAATAACTGTGCTCAACCCAGGACCCAGGATGGGATCATTCCACATTTGGAATTATGAGGAGATAGTAGACCCTCTTCCATGAACAATGTACTGAATCTATATTAATGAAATAGAAGGGCCATTCATACCCAACCAGTTAGCGGAGTGTCAAATCTGAACCAATATTAGGTTGGTGCTACTCCTACTGACATCTGGGAAAAACATCCAAGGACCCCGGTAGGAGGGCCCCCAACTTTGCACTCTTCTCTAAAAGTGGAGGAATTTACTCCAACTCTAGAGGAATAGCCTCTGTCCACCACCCTGGTGACTGGAAACTGGGTGTGGTAAGAACTCCCTAGCTCCATTAGTAGAATCTGGGGGGTAATGTGTATTGGGGAGTCCAGAGGAACAGTGTTCTGGAAACAATGCAATAGGTGAAAGAAGTTATCCAAATTTAAAAAAAAAAATTACCACGATTTATTCAGTCCAATGACTGGCAAGGACAAGCACAACTATGCTGTACTCATGATATGGTGACAGTCCAGCATAGTACAGTATTACCAGTTGGTCAGCTCCTAGGTGGTCTTATGGCATACTTCATTTCTACAGAGCCTGTCACAACCTGTATAAGGTATATTGAATTAGTAGTTGTTAGTATAAAATTGGTTTGATAAAAGCACACCTGCCTGAGAAACAATTGCCACTGAGTGGGATCTTCTGAAAATAAATTAAGGAATCCTGAAAGGTAGCAATGAAAAGACTCACCCCTCTGTATAATCTAGCTGAAATGGTTAAGATATCTACAGGGGTAGGCAAAAACACTCAGATGAAGAGATTGCCAGATCAGGCAAATAATGTGAGAAAAGTATTAGGGAGGTACACATACCAGTCTGCACAATGACCTCCAGCAGGCAATTTGACCAGGCTGCTAAGAACATAAAAATGTGACAAATTTGATTTGACGTTACTTGCAGAAATATCCTCGCCTTCAAAAACAGTCCAGAAGACAAGTCATAGTCTAGCATCTCTAAAGGAGTTAGAGCAGGCAACAAAACTTTCAAAACCCTCACTGAACATGACCATGATCCAAATCTGATTTGACACAGAAATGAGAAATAGTGGTCAGATGAATAAATGAAAAGGACTTTAACCCTTTTCCTATCTAAC